AAGCCGATCTTGACACACTAAGACCTGCCCATGCCCAGCCTTAGTACCACTTCGTCTTCGTCTCGGAGACCCTCTTCTTCATTTGAAGACCCTCTCCTTCTGCTCAAAACTCTTACAGTCTTGATTTTCGTCTTGATCTAAGACTCTCACAGTCTTGATCCTTGATGCAAGACTCTCTCAGTCTTGATGCTTGATGCAAGACTCTCTTAGTCTTGATGCATTTACTTCACGAAATGCCCCCATATATATAGATATAGGGGCTTCCACTGGCAGATTTGAAGGGACAACATACAAAGGGGCAATTCCGTCATTGTGCTTTGACCAGTCAAAGCACTAATAAGCACTTAATCATTTAATGGGGCACTTACCCACGAAATGGCCCTCTTCAGCACTTATTTCTGTTTGTGGAGCACTCAGCCTTCACGGTGGAACACTCAGCTCTTCTGGTGGAGCACTTAGCCCACTGGTGGAGCACTGGTCCCACCTCCCACTGAACCAAGCCTTTACACACAGCATTACTAAATCTGATCTTATCTTGTAGTTGACATCCCCCAACTACATAGGCCATTATCTTACACGAAATGACATTAGCTAAAAGCACTAAACAGACATGGATACAAGTCATTACAAAAATACAACGGCCCACTGCTTTGGCATGTGCACTACATGTGCCCTTTTTCTTGGTCAGCTATTGCACGCCCCAAGTCTGGCATTGCGCCCAGCCTTGGCTGATTCTGACATTGCTCCGCGCCAATGTCTCGTCCGCAACCTGCTGTCCATGATTTTACCGCACACGCCCGACGCTTGTCGGTCGCACATTGCCTTAGCCGCATTTCTGCCTTGTCTTTGTCAACACTTGTTTCATCCATGCCATTGTTTGTATTTTGTCTCACATAGCTTTGCCTTGGCTATTGAAACCCTTTGCCATCATTCCGTGCCTCCGCAATTTAGCTTAGCTTGTACTTGGCGCTCCCACAACTTGAACTGCCCGTACCTTTGTCTTTGGCGCGCATGCCGCTTCATGCCGCCCAAACTTGCCCGCACTGCCTCATCAAGCCTTTGCCAAGCCCGTCTTGCCTGTCTCAAGACCTTGGCCAATACTTGTTCTCATGACAATGTTTCTCGTCCATTGTCCCGCATGATCGTTTTGCTCCCGCATAGGCCAACGGCAAGGCCATCACGCCCCAATCCTTGCCATAGCCGCGCCACGTCCAATTGACAAAGAATCGGGTCCTAACAGTTATCCACAAAAAAAAAGGTAACTATGCCTAGTCAAATTGCGTGAATCCTATGAACACTCTTCTCTGAACAATACATAATCTAGAAAACTAGCTTCGAGACAAAGTAATTATTCTCTAATTAATTATACAATTCCAGATTAATCCAAAACCCCGCTCACATAAGCTAGAAAAGTCTATAGCCAAGATATGATTCTCTGCGTCACTAATTTAGGTACTCCATGTGTTCCGAAAGGTGTGGTACCATTGCACCAAATCTTGGCATAAATGAGGTGGGACTATTTTACCCACACCTGGTGTCTGAACCATTGCTCATACTCCTTCGCTCCCATGTGTCAATGTGATGGAACCCGTTGCTTATTTAACACTACATATAGGTACTAATGTAGTGCATGTCTAGGTTGTTATGTTCCTAGGAATATAGTATTTAGAGGGTTCAACATATTAAGAATATTTTCATGTTGGCCGTCAATCTACTGCAAACCATATCATTTATCTGGTTTTGGGACTGATTACATGTTGCAAAGCTCACATAGGTGGTGTTACACGAACGAAGACAATAGCCAAAAACTATAAGATCTTTCAAAATATCCTCCCGCTTTGACCAACAAAAAAAAAACAAGAATTTCATATAACAAATTTGATTTCTTCTGCTTTCAAAATTGTTAGGAATGTATTTTTTGCTTTATTGACACAAAAGGTAATATTCTTTTACATTGAATTCACCAGCTAAATATAATTCTTGGTAAGAAATAAGCTAAACTTCAAATCTTGGATAATTAATGAGTTTTTTATTCTCATCTGGAAGTACAATGCAATTGGGAAAAATTACCTCATCCATTCCAGCACCGACCTTGATGTCGCCTAGATCGTAATATTTCTCTATTTTAGTTGAAGTTGGTGAAATCCGGGGAGGGTGTAGGACATTGTAGAAGAATATGGACACAGAATCATAATAAAATTGTGGCCGGGAGGAATTGTGGTCACCATCAAACTTGATAATATTTTTATCACCCTGTACAAAGAACAATAACAGATTATGCATAATTCACCACATTGTAACTTACTCCAAAGATCTCCAAAATATTCTGTACCGCATATGACTTATAAATGAGATCAGAGTGGTGGGGTTGAATGAACTTATCATCCTTAGCATGTCCAAAGAGAGCAGGAATATAAGTTTTAGGAGCCACCTGCCAGATTCGGTAAAATTTTGAAGCATCATGATTAATACCTATTTAATCCAAATCAGATATGTGCATAGTAGAAAAAGATTCATGCCTGTTGTAATACTCAGCTTAGTTATATGTTCGCCCAGAATTAAGTGCATTTATAAATATATTAACTACATGAACTAAACAAGCTTTTATCAACTTCAAAGGCAAAATTGATTATACTCGACACAGTCATGAGCTCAAGTACCTGTAAGCAATTAAGGCTCATGATATCAAACTTGGCCTTCTTCTGAATGACGCGCCGCATATACTGCACAGCAACCTTTACCTGCAGAGAAAGAGAGAGAAAGGTCTCACTACTTTATGAGAATGACACGGGTCTTCTGAAGTACTTCAAGACTACCTTACAACTTTCTTAAGACAATTAACACTCTTCTTGTTGCCTTCTCCTTCTGTTTGATGTAACAGTAGGGAGCCTTGACAAAATATGCAATTTTTAGCTAGAAAGGACATAAATAAGGCGGATTACATGCAGCATGTTTCCTAGTTTTCAGCAAATTATCCAGCAGACACGATCCATAAATCATATTCTTGTCTGTGATCTTGAGCTAGTAGAGCCAAGGAGAAAAGTACATTTTAAACTCATAATTCAGTCTCTTCTTTCCTCTTCCTAGTTCCTTGTGTAATTGTTTGAAGAGAACAAACAAAAACTGGGAAATAAACCACATTCCCATGCAAAATAAATGGACCAAGTGAAATGTCCAAAAAAATAATGACATAATATCCACATGATAGCAATTTACTTGTCAGAAAGAATAGTTAGATACAAATCGATGTCTCCCTACACAAAATAATAAAATTATATTGAGACAGAAATTGATGTCTCCGCCACAAGATGATGAAACTAACACATTAAGGAATAGCATATAATTGAGTGCTAGTGGCGGCATGCCATCTAAAAACAAAAGCAAACTTTTGGGTGGAATATCACATTCCAGAGAATACCTCCAATTTCTTTCAACTGGTTTGTAAAATCCAAAGATTTGGTATGTGGAGGCGCAAATCAAAAGAATGGGGAGGGTTTGGTATGTGGAGGCGCAGCTGTTGACTAGACATTCAGGGGTAAAACAACTATTCGGCGCATCCATAAAACATTTGTAGTACTTAAAACACAGGCATAAAGCAGAAACATCGTCGGTACAGCAGCGTAAGTCATACTTGCGAAACCAAAATTCTAAAAACCATATCTGACCACATGCAGATTCATTAAACAACAATCATAGTACAGCTTTTTTTTATAACCAAGAAATTCCCGAGAGCCAGTGGTGCATGGTTCGAAACTCGGTGGATATGGGCCTACTCCTCTAGCCTTCTCCACTTAAATACAAGGCTTTTGTCTAAGGCAGAGTTTGAACATGTGATGTGTGCCTAACCAACACATCATGCGTTATGCTCTTACCACACATCGAGCATGGTATGACTTATAACTACCTTTTCTACCATAAAGAATTTCTTTTTAACCCCCCTTTCTAAGAAAGAATCATAAATATGCAAGTACTTATTTAAGATCACATAATAGATGTCCATTTACAGAAAAGAAGGAGATCCATACAGTGAATTTAGGAAGCCTGATTTTGTAGACATCTACAAGCTCCATCATTAGATCAAATAAGTTAGAGAAAGCACTATCCAAGACCATTCCAGCAATAGAAGGATCTTCTGCTCCATATAGAAGGCTGGACATTGAACAAAGTTACTAAAATCGTGATCATGGAATTAGTGAGAAACGTAAAAATCAGAACCATTGCCAAACTGTCTGCTAAAATCTAACTTGTCTTTCAGAAGAACTTGGACTGCAAATTAACGAGCAGATGAGTGCAATGTGAAATACCTTGTAACTGCACCCATTGACCGCCCCCATAGACCTATGCGTGATACTTTCAGGTTGCTTCTCAGATGTGACACAACTACCTTGAGGTCATCTTTCTGAAAAAGAAACGAAGAATTTTCATATATCAAGAGCACCACTAAAATAATTCATGCAAGACAAGGAAAAGGAAGTACCTCATGCCAACCAAGACTAACGTAATCACCATCTGACAAGCCCGAACCAGAAAAGTCAAGGGTTAACACAGTGATGTTTGAGGAAAGAAGTATTACAGCTGCCTCATTCGCATCAGCCCTACAGCCGCTGCAGGGTCCAGAAAGTTAGTAAAAGCTCAACCTTGAGAATAATATGTTAGAAAATATGATGCATTTGAGTACGTATTTACTCAATACTTAACATACTAGAATGTATGTGATTGTATAAAAAAGGTCCACAGCCTAACAAGACTAATGGAACACTTAATTATTGAATATTTAATATTTTGACTTTCATAAACTGCTCATAGCCTAAGCAGATTAGCATTCATTTCAATGAACTAAAAGTCATAGATGCAAACAGTAAACCTGTTTCCATGGCAGTATATAACACAAGGAAGAGGAGCACCATCAGGAAACGATGATGGAGTATAATGACTGCATTGCAAGGTATGCCCTCTTTCATTCTTAAGCTGCAAAAATAAAAAAAAATAAAAAAATAAAAAAGAAGAAGAAGAAGAAGAAGAAGATAGATGAAACAAGGATAATCAAATTATATAGAAGACCATGACAACACAAACAAGCAAGGGTGACCACTTTAGGTAAGAGGTGACCGTACTTGCCTCAAAGTCTTCTCTTTTGTACTTTCTTCCCCCAACACTAAACTCTTTCTCCCATAAAAACTGTTCTGGATTGTAATCTGCCCTGTTATACAATGGAGAGCAGTTGACAAACCTCTCAAGAACTATCAAACAACTAAAAAGACTCAAGATGATAGATTGAAACTTTATAGCATTAGGTTAGAGGTTATTGCATCGAAGACCAAATACAAAATGGAGCAGTGATTGCTCCATAACTCAAGCTGGAGACCTAGTTAGAAGAGTTGACTGAATAATTTGAAAACTCATGGACCTAGAAAAGCAATGGCAAACATACTGCAGGCATATCTTAAAATGTTAATGCATAGTAGTGTATACAAAAACAACTACTTCTGCTAGCCTCAGTCCCAAACAAGTTGAGGTCCGTTGTATGAATTCTCACTAACCATATTACTCAATTACTCTGTTTAAACTCATGTCATGTCAATATTATGAAAATACATAGAGAATGTATTAGTTCACTATATTTTTCTTTAACTCCGCTAGTGTTGAAAGAAAATTATGTACAGGTTGCTGAATCTTTACTTGATTTTCTAGGATCATTGTAAAGAATTATAAGTAGTTCTTGTAAGATGAACAAGACCTCATGATTCTCCTTCCACTTTATTGGCCACTACATCACACCATTGGATGCTGAAAATTAGGACAATTTCTCGACTTGTGCGTATCATCCTTGCTCAGGGGCCAATCCTAATTTTCTCTGTATCATTCCAATTTGCTTATTTTTTACTGAGACAGTTACATATGAGTTAATTTAATCTTCGCATTCACTTACTTTAGTACTTTACAAGGGGAAAAAGATTCAAAGAATGAACTTATGAGCTATAATGAGCAGGAAAAAAAAAACATAAAATATTCTAACATGGACTATGCAATCAAAAACCTACATTACCCAATTAAGCATACAAATAATCAAATAAAAAGTAAAATACGCAACAACTAGAGTAAAATTCAATTTAATCCTCAAACAGTGCCCTAAAAAGACAAAAAGGAAATTAGTGGATAAACGCACTCACCTCGGGGGACGAATAACAAAATTGATGAACTGCTCAATCATATTCTAAATTAACTCGCATCCAAACTATACTTAGACCAAATTAAAGCTGCTGTATTAGTGGTTTAAGAGCTTAATTTGAAACTGCATCGCGTGGGCAAAATGAGGATTTGAGATAAGTAGAAATCACAGTAATGGCAGTACAATATTGTTGTAATTTTCAATAGTTCATTGCGAGAAGTTTAAAGCGATCTAAATGCTGGATTTATTTTTGGAAATATTAGGGGATGAGATTCTAATTGCAGACGTCTGGGGGTTGGGATATAGTACTACTTGGAGGAGCTCTCACTGCTACCTCACTTTCTATTTACACATTAATCTCCATTAGATTTTGGTTTAATATTAACTGCCCTTAGGAGAAAGTCTATTTTTTTCCTTGACGAAGTTTCCATAATTTTTTAAAATTATAGTTAAAAGTTAGAAATGATTTATGGAAAAAAGTTAGAGAAATGATTAACTGCCTTAATCCCTAATCACAAGTTATAATTTTTGCTTGACATGAACTTGAATTAATCATACCAATGAATTTCCAATATCGGATGTTAGTCCAAAAAGAATAGGAATGGTCCAAACATAGGTGTATTTTTGTTGTTTACTTTTTTTTAGTCGGTGTTGTTAAGGATCTTTTGTTTCTGAGCCGAGGGTCTTCCGTAAATAGTCTCTCTACCCCTTCGGATAGGGGTAAGGTATGCGTACACTCTATCCTCCCAGACCCCACTAATGAGATTCGACTAAGTTGTTATTGTTGTTGACTAATATTAGCCGGCATACATAAATTATATACTGGTTATATACGATTGTACATTTGCTAGTTGTTTTGAATTTAAGCGGTTAAGTGGATAACTATTTTGGTCATAGGTTCAAGCCGTGAAAACAGTCTCTTGCAGAAATATAGGGTAAGGCTGCGTACAATAGACCCTTGTGGTTTGGCCCTTCCCCAAATTACACACATAACGAGAGCTTAGGGTACCGAGTTGCCCGCTTCAATTATTAATAGATGACAAAATTAAGCAAAGTTGGATAGTATAAGGACAAATTTGAATATTTTCCCCTTTGTTTTTTCTCAATTAGCAATAGAAATCTTTCTTCAAATTGTACGTCTTGAGAAGTCCATTCACTATCGGATCACGGATGACCATAGTAACGTGAAAAGGAACCTCGATGACAAATGTTGGGACTTGAATCTGTTGGTGATAGATTTGAGTGTGGAGAATAGCCGAAATTTGAGACCATTATAAGTAAAAAAAGAAAAAATTATTGCTATAATACGTGAAATTATTATTTTTTATTTTACATTAAAGCATCGCAATAAAACAATGACATGAATATTAAGGAGTCGCCGATAAAGTTCCTATTGTGCGTGCTTTGACCTTTGGGGTTTATCTCGTGCAAGCTTTGAGTGCGTTAGTTACAAACACTTATATGAATCTTCATTTACCATATTGACTATGCATGTTTCTGAAAGACGGAATGTATAATACGATGCTAAAATCACTTGCATACATCCTCTTCCATATCAATTTCGGCATTAAATTTATGGACTAAACCATGCAAGAACCACAAATTTAGTTTAATAGACTTTTGGCCAAATTCAAATTTACAAATTTATTGTTCTGCTACATAGTGGTTACATGAGTATAAATCTAGCAAGACAAGCTGGCTTGAATTATCCAACAAAGTTATTCAACACATGAGATTGTTGGCATAGCCTCTACCTTTTGAGTGAAAATCAACCTTTTAGTACAAAGACAATATACATCTTAGAGGTTGTTTGGTTGAATGCATAAGAATAATGTTGAATATGGTGTAGTTATTAATTATGCTTATATTAGTTATGCTGACATATTTCTTATCCATTGTTTGCTTTGATATATTAAAGCATTGCACAATTTCTAAAAGAATTATTTGTTTACAAAAATACCATCATAATCAGTCCATCACGTTATCTTTTTAAAAGAAACATATGTTGCGGAATGTTTTTATATGAAAAAGGCTTTAAAAATTATTTGATTTGTCTACTTATATTGTAGTATATAACTTAATTATTATTTATAAAAAAAAGAAAATATGCTAAGTATTTATTTATTTACTAGGGATATAATTGTATTTCTCACTTTCTTGGATTATTTCAAACTTGCATTAATATAATAGCATATTTTAATCAAGCATAAATTTTGAAGGACAATTTTATCTTTAACTAAGTTAATGCATGCATTAAAACTCATTGCATTATTAATACCATGATTTCTTATGCATTAGTTATACATATGATAATACCAAATAGGGTGTATAACTAATGCTTGCATAACTTATGCATAGGTTCAAAAAGTGTATCAAACAATGCATTATTAATACACAAAGTTAATGCATCCTACCAAATGACCCCTTAGTATATGAATCTTCATCGACCATATTGACCATATTTCTGAAAGACAGAATGTATAACACGATGTTAAAATCACTTGCATACATCCTCTTCCATATCAATTTCGGCATTAAATTTATGAATTCAACCAGAAAAATGTGCAAGAACTACAAACTTTTGGCCATATTCAAATTTACAAATTTATTGTTCTGCTACATAGTGGTTACATGAGTATAAATCTAGCAAGACAAGCAGGCTTGAATTATCCAACAAAGTTATTCTACAATGAGATTGTTGGCATAGCCTCTACCTTGTGAGTGAAAATCAACCTTTGAGTACAAAGACAATATACATCTTAATGACAGTGTCGAACGTAAGTGAAGGCCTGGGTGGTGGTGTTAGTAAGATACCTGAATACGGATCGGAACGAACAATTGACAAATTTTAATTCACTCTGCTTCTATCCTGCAATTTTGTGGCTGCTGGTTCTCAAATGGCTGATTATATTCCTTTAACTGATATAACTCTAAACAGCAGTGTCTGGCTTCACAAGCCCTTGAAGTTTCCACCCACCAGGTCCAGCCAGAGAAAATGCCTAAGGAGAGCACTTAAGTCAGATAAGATCAAATATCTTAGAAACTTCATTTTGCAGATTAGGGAACTATTAAAGTTCAATAAAGCATGCACGTCGTCATCATCACATCTCAAGATTCGAATATGGTTCGTTACTGACAAGTTTGCGGATTTAAGTTATTTTCTCGGGATGATGGGGCCCTATTTTGCAGTCAATAGCATTTTCACTTCACATTGAAACTCTCTATACCAACTTACCATATGCTACTTTGACATTCATGATGCAATTGAATTTGCAAAGTAGGACTGGCAAAAATGGAACCAAAAGTTACAGAAGAATGACCAAACCTCTTCCCACGACTTCCCAGTGGCTTCAAGCAAAGCAGCATTACAAGTCTTTAGTTCCACAGTAACACCTGAAAACATTGAGGCTGCCTCCTCCCATCCTCTATTATGACCCATGCACCTGAATAGAGGATTAAATCTTAGTAATTTGCTATGAAGCACTTTACCCAATAACTGGAAATTGACATATCAAACTGTCATTTCTCTCGCTGAAGATGAAACAGAAGATTGTACATGTCTCAATTTTATTTCTTAATCAAGTTAAATCATTCGAAATAATGGGAAAAACCTTTTGCATACAAACTGTATACAAAAAGCAAAGGGTTTCACAAAAAAATGATTCTTTATAAAGAGCATCTAGTCGTCAATACTGACTGAAATATCATTTATGCTCCAAAAGTGTACAAAAAAGAAAAGAAACTTCACCAATTGTAAAGAGGAATTCATTAACTCTTTCAAACTCTTTTATGTTTCTCCCTTTCCATCTGATCCACAAAAGTGATAAAGGAGCTATTTACTATGCTCTCCTCCACATCCTCCTGCCGAATGCCCACACTAGTAGCATATCTTTGACGATCACGACACCACCCAATTCAACTCCCAACATATTCCATATCAGTTGGATAGTGAAGTAACAAATGATTGACATCTCTCATGTCTCCATGCGCACAAAAACAACCAACAAATATGGGTCGTCCTTTCCCTCAAGTTTTCTGCAATGAAGAATGGCTCCCCATGTTGGGTCCAATAAATGACACTTCTCTCTGTACCCTAAACACTCATATCGAGGAATGAAGAAAATTCCTGTCCTTCCTCCTAAGTAGCCTGTTATGATACGATTTCACAAACAACATGCCGTCCCTCTACCCTTAATATTTTCAGTGGTCTTTGTCAGTGAGCGAGACATGTTTTTGTATAATAATTCAAGCAGCTTGAGCTCTCCGTTTTTTTGAGTCTTGCGAATTTCTTTTGAGTTTCAAGTCCTATAAAATTCTTCTTTGCTCTTTATATAGTCTGAATTCTGAGCAACTACTGCTTCTTATGGTTGGTAATACTAAAAATGATGGGAAAAATTCACACAAGAGTGACTTCCATTGTTAGAAATCCAAATTAAAAAACAGGAAAACATATTAGCTCCAGATAACTTCTTTCAATCAAGCACCATAATAGATTTCCATGTAGTGTACTAATGCTCTTTCATTATGTCAAATGCCACCACCAAAGAATCAAAGGCAGAAGGAAAACTCACATGACTGTAAAGATCTCATCCCTCGAGTATTTACAAATTGCTTGTCGTAGGTGCTCAGCGGTCTGCCCGTCCATCGCTGCAACAGAATAAAAGCTTGAAATAAAATGTACTTCAGCTTCCAAGAAGGCTTGGACTTGCTCCTGCATTATTTTCAGTGTTTCCCGCGTTCTCATTGCATCACTATGCCATAAAGAAAAAGAAACAACCACTTAGTTTGTAAATATGAAATTAAGTTTTCCGGCAGCTTAAAAATCTCATAGAAAATTCCTCTCTAGATACTCTTAAAGAACCACTTACCTTGATAAAATAAGTTTTGGAATCCAGCCCAATTCTAGGAGCTTTTGCGAGACCTTGATCGCATCTAGTTGTCCAGCTCTACTCAAAGGACGATCATGATCTGCTCAAACATAATGATGAAATATTATATTAAACCTATGAATAAGTACTCTTTTTTTAATTTTTGGTTATATTGTTAGAGTTGGTATCTTTTGTTTATAGAGCAACACAATGAACTTTTTACTGTAATTGTTTTTTTACAAAGGAACATTTCCACGAGGCAGTAATTCAAGTCTTAGGAGCATGATATTTGAGCTATGTCTTTGTTACAACTCACAGTCATACAAAAACCAGAATCTAAAGAGTTCTTCCTGTCTCTCTTCACTTCAAATTTTAAAAGTATAGTGAATTTTCAGCATTAAGAACTTTAAAGGTTAAACATATCAAGTTAAAATCTTGGAACCGCCTTTGACTTCTTCCTTGCAGGCTTGTAATAATATCATTTAGCATCCAAATAGAAGGATAGATGAAATGACATACGGAAATTGGTGCCCTACGGCACAGATTTGAATAGGTTAGGTGCTGAATCATCCAACATAACAGGAAAAGAAAAGGATTCATGTATATAGCTCGAGTAATCGATCAAACCCATTGTCACTTACTGACTTACTGTTAAAAGTTGCAAACTCCTAAAGTTGCAACTTGTAATTCCCATAAGTTGATTAAGTTATTTGTAATCAATCCACCAAACAGAAAACCTTTTAAAAATTGAGTTTTAAGTTATAAACACCTGTAAAAAAATTTACACTACCAGATGATCAAAGATATCTACAGGCAATTTGTAATATTAAAAATAAGACAATGTTAATTGCTACAACAAATAAAGGTGAAAAAATTACTCACACTGCAAAACATGCAACTTTTTCATATATTGGTTTTTAAGTTATTACACTATCATATTAAAGAATTTTTTAGACTATCATGTCAGGCAAAGGATATCTATGTTTGTTATCTTGAAATAACATATCACCTGCTACAATAGGTAAAGGTAACTTGATTCAATGGCGGATGCAGCACTCAGTGGCCGACCCATATTCAACACCCCTTACCTGGAAAATTATACTGTATTGCTAGATAAATTTTTTTGTTTTATGTATATTTATTGTATGTTGACTCCCCTTGCCTTTTTCGGGTACCTAATTTTTTATATTTTGATACCCCTTGATGAGAATTCTGGCTCTGCCACCGGTAGCACTCACACACCGGATTTTTGACGCAGAACATAAATTTATGTATAAAAAACTACTAAAATTATAACAAATAATAGGTCTGAATCCATAATTTTAAGATTGAACCCCTATAACTTAAATCCTAAATTTTCTTACACTAACTTTATAAATAACTTAAAATTCTTTTAAATTTTAGTGGGGTGAAATGAGTGAATAATGGTACCCCGAATGGAGCGATTGTCCCAAGAACTCTTTGCGTGTCGAAGCAATATGAGTCGACGTGCTGTAACTGACTGTGTCGTTGGGGTTTCCATTGAAGTCGAAGTTTGCCCTTGAATGGTATCATCAATTACAAGAGAAGTAGCGCCAGAGGCTGAGGCCACACATTTTGGATTTCTGTTCCGATTCCTGCTTAGGGATTTTGTACAGCAGCAATATGGTACTTGCAATGGCGATGCTACAACATTCATTTTCGTGGTGCTGTCAATGGATTAATACCTTCAATCACTCAGCATTAAACTCAATGAATTTCTCCCTCTGACTTTGAGCTGAGCAATACTTCGTTGAATGAAGCTGCAGATTATCCGGCGGTAGCCTGGCCCTTTGCCCCTACAAATATAATCGCTCCTTCAGTCCAGATTGAGGAGTTGTTTGGATTTTGTGTAAGGAAAAATAATCCTAGAATAAACTTATGCATAACTATTATCCTTTTCTCTGGCCAAATGTATTCTATTTTTTTTTAAGTCAAAGTGTTTGGACAATTTTTTACAACGATATTTTTTTTTAAGTTTGAGAAAAATACACTTAGAAACACTTTTAAATGAACGAAAGTAAAAGTTTCGCTTTAGATTTTTCGAGGCAAATTCAAATTTAATCGGACCCTAGTACGAATATTGGACACCGGAGAGCACTTAGGAATATAACCAACTTTCCAATACACCTGCACTTGGGAATATAACCTACTTCTAGGAAGGGTGCTATATCTCGCTAAGCCTCGGACAGTCAAATACTAATTACAAATTCGTACAATCAATCCCTGACAACTATTAGCTCTTCTCCTATGTTGCATATCTTCTACTCTAATTCTTGTTTCCTTTTATATCTGTGCTATTACACGATTTATATGTACATCAGTTTTCCTAAAGATCTTCTAATTTTGCGTTTGCCAGATATGATAAATCATGGCTCCCCGTACTGCAGCAACTATCTCTTTCTTCTTCTGCTTCCAATACTTGCTTTTAATCCACTGGATACTTTGTTGAATATTCATCTGAGGCAACTTGATCCCCATCCAATTGGACAGTCCTTCTCTTACTGCTCTAGCCCATGTACACTCTGCAAATAAGTGCTTCTAAGTCTCCAAACTCCCTTGATCACATAGTTTACATGTTTGATCCTCCACTGGAATATGCAATCGAATCATTCTTTCTTTGGTTAGTAACCTGTCTTGGTTAGCTAACCAAATACAAAATCCGTGCTTAGGTTGCATCACTTTATTCCACACCAAATTTGCCTTCTGCAATCTTACATGTGGTCCTGGTAGTGCATTGTAGCTCCTTTTTTTAATTAAGTTTTTATTCCCTTCCTCCAAGAGCTCCCCACCTTGATCTTGGGATGACTCGAACTCACAACCTATTGGTTGGAAGTGGAAGGTGCTCACCACTTGAGCAATTCACTGTTGTCAGCACATAGTTCCCATTCTATATAGCTCCTTGTTAATGAGTATTCTCCATTCTCTGTGAGCACATAGTTCCCATTATTGTACCATTGTGTCATCACTTCTTTTAATGAATTTAATTTCCTCCAGTACAAGCTACTATCAATACGAGGGTTGTGATTCCAAATGTCTCTCTCCTGCTTCATGTATATCCCATGCACCCATTTTACCCACAATACATCTTTCTTTATTGCCAATTGCCAGAGTAGTTTCCCTACAACAGCTATATTCCAGTTCCTGCACCCTTTGATGTTCAGCCCACCATACTTCTTAGGAGTACACACTATGTCCCAAGCTAATAATGGAAGTTTCCTGTGATCTTCAGTACTACCCCAAAGATAATCCCTACATATTTTGTCCGCCTCTTTCAGAACACTCTGAGGTAGGATGAACACAGCTCTCCAGAAGTTATATATTGGGAACAATACAACATTTATAATTTGTAACCTCCTTGCATATGATAGGCATCTTGAGTAGGCATTTCTGACCTTATTAGTTATCTTCTCCACTAGTTCATGACATTCTATTTTACTCCATTTTTTGAAAGAGAGGGGAAGTCCAAGGTACTTGATAGGAGGATCCCTGTAGTAAATCCTGTTCTAGCTAGTATTTGTTCTTGTGTAGCAGCATCAATTACTGCCATATAAATATTAGTCTTCTCAACATTTGCAACTAAACCTGTAGTGCTGCTAAAATGGCTTAAGGTCTCCATCACTCTAGCAATGGACTTTAGATCACCTTTACAGAAAATCATCAAATCATATGCAAAGATCAGATGAGTTAACTTGAGAGCCTTACACATTGGGTATGTGAAATCTGGAAGCTCACTCATTTTTTAAGTGTTCTGGATAAGTACTCCATGACTAAGACAAATAGTAGTGGGGATATTGGGTCCCCTTGTCTCAGTCCTCTTCTCCCTTCAAAATACCCAACACCTTCTCCATTAACCTTCACTGTAAAATTAATGGTGGTAACACATGTCATGACTAGCTGTATGAAAGTCTCAGGGAACCCATATCCAATCAGTGCTTCAGCTATGAACTCCCAACTCACCATGTCATATGTCTTCCTTAAATCTATCCTTATTAAACATCTTGGTGATGTTTTCCTGTTATAGTGTGTCATAAGATCATGGCATATAAGGACATTGTTTACCAAGGATCTCCCTTTCACAAATGCTGCCTGATTTGGTGCTACAAGATAGTTCAAAGCTTATTTCAATCTCTTGCATATTAGTGTGGACATACACTTGTAAAGGACATTGCAGCAGTATATTGGTCTAAATTACCGGAATATGATAAGTGGAAATTTTGACTATTTATTAGCGCATTTTAGCTTTCGTTTTAGTCCAAAAGTGTCTAATTGTATTCCCGAAAACTGATAAAATATGCTTACCTGCAGGAGTATTGAAAAATGAGCTACTACGATGAAATCCAACTCAAGTAGGAGTGATCTGAATAAGGACAAAAAGCAGGCACAGAACCGCAAAATGTGAAGGAAAATCAACAGAGCCCCAGTGCAAAGTGCGGACCGCATAATTATTGTGCGGCCGCAGAAGCTACGTAAGAGCCAAAATTCAGAGAGTTTTATTTTAAGCTCAAGAAGAAATGCAGACCGCACAATAACTGTGCGACCGCAGAAACAACTACGCGACCGCACTCAGGAAATGTGCAGTCCGCAAAAGAGCCCAGTGCGGCCACACCCAGAATTATACGGACCGCAGAACATGAGAGATGCGGCCGCAATCCAGAATTGTGCGGCCGCATAATCAAATCCTGTCAAGATCTGAAGAGAAGTGCGGACCGCACATATAATTGTGCAGTCACAGAACATCCGAAAGGGCAATTTTGTCCGAAAATTCTACCTTTGTATAAATAAACTACTTTCACGAAATTAGGTCAAGTTTTGAATATTGAAAGTCCTGTAGCCATTTTTACTTACCCCTTTAGGCAACTTTAGCTTACTTTGGTGATTTAAGATTGGATTTTTATCTTTTAATCTTGCAATATGAGTTTTATCATCTTCTCTTTTTTATTTTCTTTTATACCCATTATGAGTAGCTAGAATTTTAGCTAGGGTTGTGACCCAACCCTAGAGTGTGAACCTAATGGGTGTTTGATTTATGGCTTGTTTATGGTTGGGTGTTTATTATTTAGCCTTATTCTTGCCTTTAATTATAGAATTAATGGTTGCAAATATTAGTTTATGCCTATTTGACTTAGTCTCTACTTGAGAAAGAGAGACTTAGTCTAAGAAAACTTGGCTAACAAGAATTTGGGATAAAATCAAGAGACTGATAGTCCCAATTAAAGGATTGAACCTAGAGATAGTAAAACCTGACTTGAGCATTTTATCAACTGTTTTATTCAATAGCCATTTGGACTTGAGAAAGCCAAATTGGGCAAAATCACTCTCTTACCGAGAGGTATTGAGTGGGTATTTGAGTGTTGATTGCTATAATACACCCCAAAAACAAAATAAGCTTTAAAGTTTACAAACCGTTAGGCAAACACCTAGGTGAAAGTCATACCCCTAGGACTTTTTATATATTTGAAAACCATCCAAAAACAATATTCTCTAGTTTTATATCTTTAGAATTGTAATCTTTAACGTAATTTTAGAAGTAAAAACAAAATCATATTTGTGGAAGTGCAACCAAGATACTTCACATGCTTTATCCAAATATATACCACTAATCCCATCTCAGCTCCATGTGGATTCGATCCCGACTCCTTGTTAGGGTATTATTATTGCAACCGATCGTTTCACAACCCCGAATAGAGGTGTGACTTGGACGAGATCGATTTTTGGCGCCGTTGTCGGGGAGCATAAAAACGGATTTAGCTATATATTTGATTTTGTATGTGAATTGTCTTCTTTTCCTTCGGTGTTACTAATCGTTTTGGTGAAACAATTGTAGGTGAAACAATGGCTCTCAACAACAATGATTATCTCGGAAACATGCCTTTGGAGGATATGGACGTGGAAAATGACCAAGTTGAAGAGGTTTCTCTTGAACCTCAAGCAAATAGACGAGGCCGACCGCCTCAAGACAACGCTCCCGTTCCACCCCCAAATCCACCAAGAGTGGCTCCACACCGGGTGTTGCCGAATAAAGGGTATGCAAGTACTATAGTCCCGCCCCGCATTAGGGCGGGCAACTTTCAAATCACAAATGTTATGCTCACATTTCTAGAGCAACATGGATTCTTCATCGGGGCTCCGAATTAAAATGCGTACAAACACTTGAAAGGGTTTGTGGACACTTGCTGGGGGAGTAAATAGACAAACGTCTCCGAGGATACTTTAAGGTTGAGGCTATTTCCTTTCTCTCTACGGGGGAAAGTCGTGGATTGGTTAGAAAGGTTGCCAAACCATTCCATCCATACATGGGATGAATTGGCGGAGAAATTTATTTCCAAGTTCTTTTCTCCCGGGCATATGGCTACTCTTAGAGACGAGATTTTAGCATTCAAACAAGAACCCAATGAGCCTTTGCATGAGATATGGGAGAGGTACCGAACTATGGTGAAAGAGTGCCCAAACTATGACATGATGGAGGCTATGATTCAACAAACTTTCTCTAGGGGGATCAATACTACAAATCAATGCGTGGTCAACCAACTTGCCGGTGAAAATTTCATGACAATGCCATATGCGGAAGCTTGTGAGATCTTAGATGAAATGGCGAATACTTCATTGGCATGGCAAAGTAGAGCAAATGTTCCTCAAGGTGATCCAAACATGATTCACCTACATAAAGAATTGCATGATCATGGGCAAGCAATTGCCGATTTGACCACCACAATGAATTAATTAGCCAAGGCTCAACTTCAACAAGTGCAAGGTCCTAAGAAAGTAAATGCAATGGAGGGAGTTAATATGATGGTAAATAGGAGAAGGCAAAAGGGTCCTCAAGTGCAAAACCATGCGGAACATTATGTGCAAGAAGATAGTGGGTTTGATCAAGATAAATCTTACAATGACCAAGAGGAGAAAGTACAATATGTGAACAATTTCCAAGGGCAAAGAAACAACTCTCAAGGCCCAAATCAACAACAATGGCGACCTCATGGTAATCAAGGGAATTTTAACAATCAAAACAATCAAGGAAATTGGAATGGTCAAAATAACCAAGGCAAATGGAGTGGCAATAGTCAAGGATACTGGGGAGGCAACAACCAAGGGGGGTGGAACAATAACCTAGGAAATCGGGGGTCAGACTTTCAAAGGCCCCCGATGTATCAACAACCGAGTAACCCACCTATTTATCCTTCCAATGGTCCAAGCTCTTCCAACAGTGAGATGAGACGAATTGAGAATATGTTCAAACAAATGATGGAGAAGAATGCCAACTCCGATGCCTCTCACAACATTTCAATTCGCAATTTGGAAGTTCAATTGGGGCAAAGTTCGCAAGCTTTAAACACTCATCCTAAGGGGGCACTACCAAGTGATACGGTGGTGAACCCAAAGGGTGAAAACAATACGGGACATGCCATGGCCGTGACTACAAGGAGTGGAAAAGGTGGGGATGCACCCACCTCAAGTCAAAGGAAAATTGTGGATGATGAGCAAGTGGTATAAGAAGATAAGATCCCGAACAATGTGGTGCAAGTAAATGATAAAGTAAGAATTGATATTGATGATAATGTGGAGGAGACTCGAGAGGAAGTGAACCCGTCTAGGGAGCACATTGTTGACAGGTAGTGCTAAAGGCTAAGGCACCAATGCCAAGGACTCCTCCTCCATATCCTCAAAGTCTTGCCAAGGAAAATGGCAAGAATCAATTCAAAAAGTTCATTGACATGATGAAGAGTCTATCTATTAATGTGCCATTGGTTGAGGCTTTGGAGCAAATGCCCGGTTATGCAAAGTTCATGAATGACTTGGTGACAAAGAAGTGGTCGATGAATTGTGAACCTATAAAGATGACTCATCAAGTAAGTGCAATTGTGCACTCAATGGCTCCTAAATTAGAAGATCCCGACACTTTCACAATCTCTTGTACCCTTGGAAGTGCCGACTTTGCTAAAGCTCTTTGTGATCTTGGGGCAAGTATCAATTTGATGCACTATTCAGTTTTCAAGACTTTGGGAATTGGGCAACCAAGACCTACATCTATGAGATTACAAATGGCGGATCGTACCATGAAGAGACTGTTGGGTATCATTGATGATGTGTTAGTTCGTGTTGATAAATTCATTCTCCCGGCGGATTTTGTGATTCTTGATTGTGAAGTGGACTATGAGGTGCCGATTATTCTGGGTATACCTTTCCTTGCTACGGGGAAGGCTCTTGTTGGTGTGAAAATCGGTGAACTCACTTTCCTGGTGGGTGATAAAAAGGCGGTGTTCCACGTGTGCAAATCTATGAGGCAACCGAATAGCAATGAAATGTGTTCGTTTGTGGACTTGCTGATCGATGTGATTATTGATGATACTAGTGCCACGATGAATGTTGATGATACTTTGCAGGACGTTTTGCTTAACCTTGATGATGACGAGATGGATGGCTATGTGGAATGCGTGAACTCATTGCAAGGAATGGGGTCGTACACTTTGGACCCTACAAATTGTCCTTGGATATTGAAAATCGGAAGACTCCTCCAACAAATCCCTCAATCGAGGAGCCTCCCACTTTGGAGTTAAAACTATTGCCTCCGCATCTCAGTATGAATTCCTTGGCCCTTGTTCTACTTTACCGGTTATTCTTTCCTCTTGTTTGACTAACATACAAGTAGACTCCACGTTGGCGGTGCTACAAAAGAGTAAGAAAGTTATTGGATGGATATTGGTGGATATTCGGGGAATAAGCCCCGCATTTTGCATG